AATTTTAACCTTATGTTATTTTGGTTATACGTTTTAGTAAATTTGTGGATATTTTAATTTTTACCACTTGCACTTTTCGTGACCCTATGTGACCCCATTGTGAAAACAAAAATTTCTAATAATAAACTTATGCAATGTTACGTATTAAAACTACAAAAGCAAAATTTGTATGTGATGGTATTTTTATTTATGTTTTTTTTTATATATAATATAAAATATTTTTGCTTATATTCTTTAAACTTGAAAAAAAAATTTATTTAGTGTTAAATAAGCAGAATGATAGCCAGCTAAATCAAAATAAAAAATGTATATATTCTGATTATTATTGTGTTGGCTTTTGAATTTATTCGATTATAAAACTGGTTGCAGATGTACTTTTTTTTTGTTTAGTATCATATATATTATATATAATGTGGGTTAAATATTGAACAATACACTGCGTTCTGCACTTGTTAGAATTTTTATGCTAAAAAAGTTATTAGAAAAGCAAAAAATTTAATGTCAGTACTCTAGAAGTTACGTAAAAATTAAGCTTTATGTTCTGAAGATTTACAGAAACAAGTCCATTTACAGATCCAAGTCCAAACGTAGTTTCATTTCAGTTTAAAACATTTGTTCCAATGATACTAGACCATATGATAACCTACGGGGTTCACAAGGATCCATAAATGCACGGCACTTAACTCGCCTGAATTCGACTGTCAGTCCAGTTCACCGTTCCTTTACAGTCAAGTTCTAAAATTTAAAGAACATTTTTGAGCGATAAAAAAATAAGCTTTTTAACGACAGTCTTGCATTTATATTATGTTAATGGTGTATTAACTGTTTTCCTCAAAAAAATTTTGGTGAGTACTCCAAGATATTGTTTAACTACTTAACATACGGTCAAGTTTGAAAGTCTGAACCAAGCCAAATGTACCTCGCAACCGGAAATATGCTATTTCAAACGCTTATACACACTGTGACACAGCCTTTCAGTTGGGTCCATATAGTATTAGTACGGTTTCATCGACATCGAGCGAAAGTTTACCGAAATACAGCAACCTATGTTCTTTAAAAATTGGGCTTTAGCCTACTAAATATATTACATCACCTTTTAATTTAAGGGTGCAAATCATACACAATCATACAAGCTGACCACGGATTTTGAAGATTGTCCGTATTGTTTTTACGTCGTATTGCTTGTGAAAGTAATTATTGGAATCTAGATCATAATTCAGCTCACTGTATGCATCCCTCGAGATACTGTTTCTACAAAATTTCAGCGTTCTTCAATACTTAGTTTCGTTATTACATTTTTCTGCCACAGTTAGTTTCCAGTTATCATCAATACCAAAATCATTCAAATCATATTTAACTCGAAAGCCAGTTCAGACCATTTTTCATTTATTAGGTACTGCGGTATTGTTTTTTTGAAGGATAAATATATATTAGGTAACAAATTGAATAAGTATGTATAAAAGATATGGATTTATGAGTTGATTTGTATAAAAGAAGTGTATCGAAATGACTGCTCGGTGCTATAGGTTATTAAAAAAAGTGCTAGTACGTTTCACTAATCTGTTTTATAAAGTATTATTCACAATAGTTAGAAAAAATTTTGCAAAAAGAAATATACGATAACCCTAACATCTTCTTGACATTTTGACGTCTTGTAAAAACATTTAGTATTGGGTAAATTTAGTATTGGAAAAGAGTAGAACAGTGAATGTTACCAAATAACGTTTGGTCTATAGTTTTAAGCTAAGTAAATAAGATTTTTTTTTAAATAAAAATCATATTTTCATATAATGAATACACGATTTTAGTACGTTCCTTGGTTTTCAAATTTATAATTAAAGTAATTTTTTATGATCAAAAGTTGTGTATTAATTAATAGAAATTGTGTATTATTTATTAAAATTATTTTCCAATAGTTTCGATAGTCATTTTCGGGTAACAAGTGATTATCTAAGATTTAAATTAAATATTTGTATGAGCTTCAAATAAATTTAGAATTTGTCTGAGTTCGATTGTTCTTGAAGAAGTCAGTTCGATTCCTCTTCTTTGCGAATAATGGAGTTTCAGCAGGAGTAGTGAGCGATACTTGAACGTCGTTGATAAATAATTTTGTAGCATAAATCAGTTCTTTTTCTTTTATTTAAGTAAATAAATCTATAAAAGAATTTTAAAAAGATAACATTTAAATACATCTTCTATATCAGGACTGTCCAAAGCACGAAGCTACTTATGAAACTCTGAATGCACAGCAAATATTATTAATATAATATAATATAATATAATATAATATAATATAATATAATATAATATAATATAATATAATATAATATAATATATAAAAAAAAACAATAATAAATAAGTTTATATATTTGTTAATAATCTATTATCAACCTATTACTTTTAATATTTTTTAGTTATGCTTAGCTTCTAAAGGCGGTGGAAAGTGCCAACATATATCAGATTTTGTTATTAATCAGAAAGTAAGTAAATCAAAACGTTTAGTTGCAGCATCGCCTATAGAAAATCAGCGTAAACCTCGAGAAAGTGCTAAAAACTGGAATAAAAGCAAAAGCTCATACTCTTCCAATTTATTTCAAAGATTTACCACACCCCAAAATAAGTTATTCCAACCTTATAGGAAAAATAAAGAAGGAGACCGTAACAACAACTGGAGGACTGGTCAGAAAGTCCAGTTACATTCAGGTCCCTCACCTAATTTAAGTGGACAATTTAAAGGATCCACAAAACCATTAGCTGTTAAAAAAGTAAGTAAGGATGAAAAAAACGCAATTTTCTCAAAGAGGCTAGAAAGTGATAAAATGGATGACATGTACAAGAGCGCAAAATATGGATTACAAAAGCCTAAAACAGTCGACAATTCACAGTCACCAGATATGCGTGATAAATTGATTTCAAACCGTTACCAACAAGTTGATGCAGCATATCCGCGAGCGATTTTAGGTCAACAAAAACAAGGAAACGGTTTTAAAATGGGAGTACAGGGAAGTAACAGAGTAGTAACACAATCTCAGAATAACATGGATCGTCAGCAAAACGATAATAAGCAGGTTCTACGTTTTGGGTCTGATCGTGAGGCTCAACAGCAATTGTATATGAAAACTGAAATAACCTTTCAGGAATTAAGAAAGTTACAGCACAAACAAAACCAAAATGTTCAACAAGCACCTCAACATCGGCAAAATGGATGTGGAAATTTTTTTACTTCTTCAATACAAAATAGATTAAAAATAAGTGCTCCACAAAACACCGTTCAAACAACAATTGATACGCATAATGTTCAGAATAAACCCAATAATCTAAAACATTCGTTACCTTCACCCGAAAATAGTGGTCAATCTATTGCAGCTATAAAAAGAGCTGCACTGGTAAGAATAAGAATAAATTCAAATAATACTAATTAAAAATTAAATATATATATATATATTATTTTGCAGAGAGTATTAAATGAAAAAAATCCTTTGGAATCTTTGTTTGAATATTGTGCTCTATGTAACTACGAAAGTCCTCAATACAGTGTATCAAAATCAAAATTTGAAAAAAACTATCAATGCCGAGTTACAATCAATGGTTTTATATACTTCACTTATCCAACTGACTATCCAACGGAAATGTTAGCTAAAATTGGCTGTGCAATCAAGGCTATTGAACAAATTAAAGCCGCAGAGTATCGCCGTCCAATGCGACCATGTACAATAACTGACTATGAGTTTATTGAACGTTTGCACGCAGACTTATCCTTACATCCCCATGGTATGTTTTCGAATAAAATATCTGAATTTTATGAGTTGAAATACAAAGAAACCCCTCCTGAACATTGGTGGAGTTTAGTAACGGTTAATGTAAATAAATTTTTGATTGAAAAAATCCAAAGTGAAACAGTAATAGTTTTCGCTAAAGATGATACGACTAATGGTAAGTTTCATGATTATTTAATATGTATATGTTTTTATATATATAACATATTTTTGCTTTCGCAGAAGAAATAACACCTCCTCTGAAAGAAGAAGAAGGAAATAAAGAAATGGAAGGAATTAAATTACCATGGGGTACAAAACATTGGGAACTATACATCACGTATGTAGTATCACCAATTGAAGTTTGGTGTCGCTTATTTGGTGAAGATTACGATAAACAATTTATTAAAATGATTAAAGAAATTCGCATTACTATGGCGAAGCATCGTGCACAGATTGCAACGACAGTTACAACTAATCACATTTATCTTGCTTATGATAACCAGGAAGAATGGCATCGTGTTCGTGTGATGGAAGTAAATAAAACTGCAAAAACTGCTACAGTCTTTTATATTGACTATGGTGATACAGAGAATTTACCATTGACAGTACTACATGAATGTGAGCCAAGGTTCCTACAACTACCAGCACAAGCTATCACCTTTACATTATTTGGTCTAGAAGACTTGTATGGTAACCCATTTGTCATACAACCTCTGAAGAAGCATATGCCTGTTAATAAATCAGTTGTTGGTGAAGTGATAACAAATGAGGAAAGTTTTAATTCCGATACAAGTGCTGGTGGTAAAATACAAGTTGCAGTATTCGATACATCGTCTAATATCGATATCAATTTGAATGAATTGATTATGAATGAAGTTTGCTTAAATTCTCCACTACCTTCTCTAATAATAAATACTGTAGTAAATGTTATAATATCTCATGTTACTACTGATGGTGTCGTACATTTTCGAAGGAAAGGTCCAGAGTCAAATTATGTTGAAGTAAGTACTGCTGTATAAATATTTTTGTCTGTTATGTTTTATTATGCTGTTATTTTCAGTACATATTTTATTTTACTCAATTTAATGTGTAGCATATTATTATATTAAATTTTAACACAACATTCTTTTAAGATAAAATAAATATATATTCTTTAATGTTTATTTTTTTGTTGAAAGTGATACGTTGATGATACGATGAAAAGAAACTATTTAAAACATAGAAGGGTTTGAATAGAAATGAAAAGACAACAACAAAAATTTTATAATTTGTAAATTCTAAGAGAGAAAAGAACTTGTAAAATATTAATAAACAAAGATCCATTTTTGTCATCAGTTAAGATAGCTATAAGGGTAATTTTCTCCATGTTATGTGCCAAAAATTGGGGTGACTCTATGATTCCTTGATTAATGGGTGTGATCTAATAATGATCAGTGATTCCCACTATTAGTACCATTTGTTCGTAAAATATTTTATTTTTGCCTTAAAAGATATTACTTTTTTGGAAAGTTATCAATCCAAAAATCACTTAATTACTATAGTTTATAATTTTGAGATACTTTTTCTGTATTTATTAATAAAATTTATTTACAGAAACTGATGTACCAACTTGTGGACTCAAAACTAGTGATCGATGGAACAAATAATGTTAGTATTGATGATGTAAAAAGTGGCAAACTTATTCTTGTATGTGATAAAAGCGATTACGAAATCAATTGGTATCGAGGCAAACTGGCAGATAGTGATGATGTTAATCTAAGAGTAGTAGATGTCCCTGACAATAATAAGCAGAAAAGTGATAAAGAATTTGATATTGTCTATGTTGACCATGGATTTATCAAACGTATACACATATCTGATATGTATCCCTTGGACACATTAAGTTCTGCACTATATAATTTTCCACAACAGCGTTTGAAAGCTCGTTTACGGAAAATACCAGCTATTAGTAAAGAAGTTGTTGCACTTATGCATAATCTATTGCCAGATTATTGTGATGCCATGGTAAGTTCTTACTGAATTTTGCTTAAATACAAAAGGTACATTTAATAACATTTTAATTTTTTAGTTAAAAATGATTGGTTATGATGGTGATATGCCGCTTGTTAAGGCATATAGACGTATTCCGCCACATCCGCATTTGGTATCAATTAATCATACATTACGTGGGGAACATGAATTGGGAAAGTAATGCAATTGTTTTATTTATTAATATAATATTAATTGTTATAATATTCTTATTATTAAATTATTATCATTATTATATTTATTAATTATAATATTAATTAAAATATTTTCTATTTATATTTATTTCTATTAAAGGTTTATTGTATCTGACTATAACGATTATTCTTTTTTCCAAGATGGTACCAATCCTCAACCACGTTCACCTACAACAAATAATTTTAAAAATATGAAACCCGATACAACCACAACTACAATACCAACATCATCTAAACTATATTTAGATGATTTACCCTTAATAGAAGATTACAAAAACATGCCAAAAAAAGGTGAATATTTAAACGTAGTTGGGTACGTATGTGGAAGTCCAGCTAACTTTATGGTTTGTTAAGTAATATATATATAATAAGTTAGATTATTATATAAATTTTTTTTATTATAGGTTCAACCTTATGATGATCGTAAACTTTTAAAAAATCTGATGGCTGAATTAACAGTATATTGTAAAAGTACTGATGACTTTGTACCATTTAATAAAATTAAAATTGGGCAAGCTTATGCTGCAAAAAATGAAGAGGGGGTTTATTCTCGGTACGTATTAAATAGAAAAATTTTCATAACACTTAGTTTTTTAATAAATTTTTTTTAGAGTGATTGTTAAAGATATTATATCCAGCGATATAATACATATTTTTTTCTGTGACTTTGGTGATACAATGACTGTAAACAATGAAAAATTGAAATTTTTGCCGGCAAAGTTTCGTAAATTACCAAAACTAGCTTTACATTCAAGGATCTGGAGTAAGTATATTTTGCTAATCGAATATAGCAACATATATCTTAATAATTTTAATTGATTCGATGCAAGTCGTCTAGGATTGAGTGTATGGAAAGGAATTTCATATTTTTATATTGTTGCTATGTATTGTTGTTATGTACATTAATTAGCTCCAAAGGTTTATTGTTACATATATCGTAATTAAAGTACAAAAGCATAGTTAATCAAGCAAGATTATAATAAAGCTTTCATTTAGATGTTAGGTTCATTGTGCTGTAAAGTTGAATTAAGCTAAGTTTTTTTTTTGTGCTTTTAAATTAATTTTTTTTCCTTTTTTGTTTTTGATGACATGAAAAAGTCAATACAATACAAGATAATTAATAATATTTATAGATTTACATATAGTCATTTCACCAGGAGTATAGATGTTTTTGTAACAGTTTTTGAGACCTAAGAACTTCCTTGAAAACTTGTCACACTGACTTAGAGTAGCAGTATTGGCTATAAATAGTTTGGTATCTTATATAGACTTTGCGAATTCGGAGATATACTTTATTAAAAAAATATAATTAGATGATGCGATTGATAAAATTTTTTGGTCTTAAAACTATAATCAAACTTCCATAACACGAAGTACCATTTGGCAAAGAAAAGGTTCGGCTTATGGAAACTTTGAGATAAAGAATTTTTTTGTAATTGTATGTAATTTGCTCTCTAAACTATGTTGCATTGCACTCTATTTAGTTCGAGTTATAGAAAATTCGAATCAAAAAAATTTGACTGTGTTTAAAAGACGGTGTTAGACATTGACAACCGATGAGAACTTTTAGTCTCGCACACTAATGCATAATCTTCATGATAATACCTCCATCTCAATTTGTTTCATTTATAAAACCTTGGTAGAAGTGATTATTCTGGTGCTCAATTTTGGTCAGAGTAAAATTACACAGTTCCTTATACATATTTCTGATGTATATCAAAACCAATCTTAATCTAAATTGAAGTGGTAAGATTTTGATCTTTGGTAGCATTAGGTATGTTAGATACAATTTAATTGAATAAAATTGTGTGTTCTATGACAAAAAAATCTATTTTTAATAGAAAATGTGGTAATAGTGAGAAAATAAAATAACAAAAGATAATTATATAAAAAAAAATAATATTCTAATAATAATTTTTTATATTCTAGATATTGAACCAAAAGATGGAGAGTACACCTACGACGATTGTATTACTTTTCGCAAATTAACAGTTGGCAAAAAGTTTGCTGCCAGTGTCAAAAAAATTGAATATGATCAAAATGGTATACCAGGACCTTTCTTTCATTTAGATTTAGTTGATACTTCAAGTGCAGTGGACTTACTTGTACGAGATTTCTTATGTTTTAATTGTAATGTGGTGTCGGGAAATATGGTTGAAGAATAAAAGCAATTATTTACATAGCCATAAACATATAAAGTTAAAATATTTTAAAAAAGATTTTGTTAAAATTTTCTACTTTTTTCTCATTTCTAATTTTTATATAAAATTATAAAAAATAAATCATATGAAATAAAATAAGTATAAAAATTTAAGAGATAAATTATGAGATCATAGACTAGAATAATGAAATTCATTAGACTTTGATTTGAATTTAATTGCGGCAAAAATCGATGTGCTCAAATTAAATTAACGAAAGATATTATAATAATATTATATATGCGAATAAAAGGAGGGCTTTTAAAATGCTCACAATTTAATTTATATTAAAAATCATTTAAATTAAATTAATTAATTAATCGAAACACATTCCGTCGTTCGTATTTGTTTGGCGTTCTTTTCAACGGAAAAGTACTCACTATTAACTAATAATTGCTTAAGAATTATTTTTAATTAAATTATTTTTATTTAAAAACTTAAAATTTAAATGATTTTTAAAAATGTTTTATTTGCAAACGACTAGCAAAGAACGATATCCACTACTTTAAAATTGAAATTTAAATATCATTTTTTATTTTATATATAAAATTAATGAAACGATAATATTTCATACTAATTTTTTTTTATATAATTAAAATACTATTATGAATTTTAGTATATATGCGTTACATTTTTGTTATTGTTATTATAAACAATTTTTCACTTTCATAATATGTAATATATTAATTAACAAATGTAAGAAACTCAAGCAATGTGCTCATTCTTAATGAAATAAAAAAAAAACAATAAGTAAAATTTTTGTTGTTATTTATTTTAATTAGTTTAGTAACAAGTATTCTCTTACGTTCCTGTTGAAATTTACTAAACAAATGGTGAAAAAAGTATTCAAGGGGGGAGCGGTGAACACTATTTGGCTGTTAGTTCAGAGAAACTTCCGATAGCTCATGGAACATAGTATCTTTTTAAATAAATTTTAATTTAAAGAGAGTTAACTCAAAGAAATGTATTTGCTTAGTTATTTTGTTACATAAATGCATTGTAAATAAATCGTATTTCCAAGTAAGTGATATCAAAAGGTCTTTCTAGATCAGAAAAAAAATTTAATTTTTAACTAGATTGTTGCTTTAACTCTTTATCAACGGTTTTCAATCGAAGTGTAGATCCGGTCAAAAAATACATAAGGGACAGAGCTTTGAAGCTATATGCGAAAACCGACAGCCTGCCCTATTCAGAGTAATCACTAACCGCACGGGGGGGTATGCAGATCTTAGATCAATCATTGAATAATCACGAAGATTATCAGAAATACTCAAATTAGTCAGTGAGATAGGCGGGACTCTGCAGAATCCTCTCAGCTATCATAGAGTAAAAGTGCCCAGATGCACTAACTCGGAAAAGGCTTAACATAACATGACTACGACTTTATTATCTATATATATCATATATATATATATCAGTATAAGTTTAAATAACTATCTTAACAGTAGCTGTCAAGTAAAGATGTTTTGGAGAGTGCTTTGGCTGGCAATACAATAGCTCAACCAAAAAGTAGCAGATGTAAGGTAATTACTCTGCAGTAAAGATTATTTTCAGATAACGATACCAGTGAAATAACAAAAATGTAATTAATGTTATTTCTTAAATAATAGTAATTCTTCAAAATAATACAGTGTCCGAATATATTCCAGTTCTGTGGAGTGCTTGTTGAACATTAAAATGCTCGCAGTTTTGCAAGCGTCTCCAACGAAGAGCTATGGCAGAGTACCAAACAAAAGCCAATAGATAAAGAAATTTTGAGACGCAAATATGATTGGCTCGGCCACACACTTAGAAAACCGACAGATGCAATTGCCTACGCAGTCATGGAATGGAACCCGCAAGGAGTAAGGAGACGAGGTCGTCCCAAAACCACCTGGCGAAAAACAGTGGCAGCAGAAACAAGCAAATCCTTTAACCAGTTACGTTTTACTGCCAGAAACAGAGAGGAATGGAAAAATTTTATAAATATTATTTGTGAATAGATTAAGTTCTAATTATCAGGGTATACTTTTGGACATAGTTGTAGACAGACGCAATTTTAGGTATTGATCCAGTTAAAACACCGATCAAATAATCCAATTTGAGTTGCCAATATTAAGCATCTTTAATCTGTTGCTAGGTTTGAAAACCACGAAGAGCTGGATATGCATTTAAACGGCTTTAAAGGAAATGCAAGTCAAGTAAATAGGAGAAATCTGACGTGTGTGTCTGATATCTAGACATATACAGTTGACTTATTGTTGTAGGTATATTGACACTTATTAGTTTCTCTTTTTTTGGGAGAGGTTAAGGATTTAATCGTTTTGGATAACGAGTGTCTCCAGACTTTCATCGGATTTTTCCTGGAATCTGATGAAGTAACGTAGTGGGTATATGTTTATTTTGATATAATTTGATTATAATTCCTCAATGAAAATATTAAAACCGTAAAGTTTCCATCCGTTGTTATATGAAAATAACAGGTATGTAACCCTAGTGCAACAAAATATTGTTGCACAATAAATGTATTTGGCATATTATTGTTATAACCCGCTGGTACCTCCTTGTGAAGTCCTTTTGGAAGTTGTCAAACGGCACTTGGTGTTTGCTGGGGACGAGGGGTTCCGATACGTAGACCCGGTCGTTCTTGGAATCATATTATTGTTATAAATGACATCACTTAAAATATGCGTATCAGACATGTCAGCTATGTGATATTTATTAAAGAAATCGTATAAAATTATGTACGTCTTGGTTTACATATGTTATGCGTTAATATTGTAGCACAATATGCGATACACATTAGATGATATGTACAACTTACACATTTCTTCCATATGCAAACGAAAGCTGTTGCTTAATAGATATGCGGAAAATGTAACTAACGTCGCGAAATAACGATAGCTACATAAAGAACTATATGCTGAAATTTCTAATGTATCTAAATTGTTACGGCCACATATTTAGAAGATTTATTTAGCAGATACAAATATGTGACAGATTAAATACATCATCATTGAATAGGCACAATATTTTCTTTCCTTTCATACTTCAAATTGTATATTTAGGTAACAAAACCCACTTAGTTTTCAAGAAATGAAAAATATTCATCTGGGGTGGTTTATATATATCATTTTATAACTTTAAGAACCATAACGAAAAATAAGCTTCTATATTATGTTTAAAAATTACAGCTGATCCTTACCGAACTGTTTTAGATGGGTGGTTTGTTTGGTGAGTGTTAAATATATGTTCAGAGTGGTAAATATATTATTGCTCACCAAATGAAAATTTCCATAAAAGAATATTTTTGATAAATCATTAAAAAACAACCAGACTAACTAACGGAATATATTATATATAGAAATATTCTTTGAGATTACTCTTTATTTTCAATAAATTATAAAAAATATATTATAAGAAATAAAACTTATTAAAAAAATATTTACGATTTATATAATTAAGTATTAATTAATTAGTATTTAAAGAAACAGCAGAGCACGTCATCCTGACTAAAGTCATATATGATATGATAATTTTAATTTTAGTCATGTAATAAGTATTTCTTATTTTCTAGGATATTTTCCTATTACAACTACTTTTAATAGTCGACAGGATCGTTTGAATGTTTTCGTAAATGCAGTGTACAAGTTTATATATGTTGACAAAGGTCAAAACTAATGATGGTGTTGTATCTTTGCTCAACCATTGACAAATTAGCGATTTACATGCTCATATGAGCTGATTGCCGATTGCTGACAATGCCTTTGCTAAGTGAACAAACTTTATGTATGATCATGAATGACTTTCTAAGAAGTCATACATCACATTAATTAATAATCGTCGCAAACGTTGTGCTTTATTGTTCGGAAGAGCAGATAATTCAGATAATATGTGATCGCAACAAGCAGAGTTAGCATCAGATATTGGTAGAGTAGTTACTGCTTTAGGTTGAATTTCCTCCAGATTATTTCTTACTGGACTATTTTGCACAGGCGGTAGCTCCACACATTGTCGGTTGTTGCTTTGAAATGGATTAGGAGGTGTAGTCTGTGGTGAGTCCAACTTTATCACAATATCATTTGCATCAGTAGATGTCTAAAAAGTAATTAGTAACTAATTAGTAACATAAAAACATTAGTTATTTAAATGAATGCAAATACCAAATCGAAAGTCGATGTAGGTTGTGTAGTTGCGGTTTGAACAATGTCTTCTAAAAATAACATTTGCTTAAAATGGCGCCAAAGTTTTGTCTGAGATTCTCGAGTTCCTTGGCCTGATTTCCTTTGACGAGATTTTGCTAAGTTTGTTTTAAAAGTAGCCCGCAAAGCTAGCCATTTGGTTTTGGCTTCCGTAATAGTCATTCCATCAATATTGAGCTCTGCAACTACTTCTCGCCAAGCATCTAGCCGAGACATTTTGTTATCCGACAGGCCTGCATTCCATAAGAGCGCGCGTTTTTTAACAGCATTAATCAAACGCTGGATTTCCTTATCATTCCACGGATGTGAGATTTTTCTTTCGCCAGCAGTTGATTTTCTTTTCCTTGTTATAAACCTCTTCTTCACGGCACTTTCCATTTTAACTAAATTTTTTTTTGGCATATGAGATTTTGAGAAGCATAAAATTTGAACTTAAATGTTTATGCTGCCATATCGTTTGTTGCATATCAGCACTCACACAATACATTTCTATATGGATATGTGCACACATATTGTGTAGACGTGCTGTCACACACAACCAACATATTTTATATGTACTATATGTGGTATTTAAATATATTGAGTTCCATTAAATGTATTGATACATATGGACTATTGGTTTTTACTTTTACATATAATTCAATAGAATGATATTCCAAATATTCGTAACTTTAGGAGAGAATGAGAACTTCACCATTATTTAAGTCTCTTGCAAAAAAACAATTGGTATGTTATTGTTGTCGGTGGAACAGTTTTGGTAATTCTAAAAGCAAGTCAAATTTTTTAATATACTTTCAAAGAGGTAACGAATGTTTTCTTCACAATGCCTAACCTATCAGTCAACTTCCAAATTTTATTAAAAAAAATACGTTTTTAAAATATTTAAATATACTTAATTTACTTAAACATCTCTCTCATCTGACTGGAGTTTTCCATTTTCTTTCTAAAATCATTCACAATAGATCAGTTTTAAGATTTGGCACTATTATTATGTTAGTAGCTTATTCATTAAGCTTCAGGAAAGTGGACTTATTTTTACTAATATGGTTTTTGTTTTGCATGTTAATTTTTAAGCAATATGTGTTCTATTGGAGCATTCATGTCGAAAGTATACATCTTTAGTATTTAGATAACAAATATGTCAAAGCCAAAATAGAAAACAAGTGAAGGTATGAATCAAAGAAGATTTTATGAATCAAGTGATTCAAAATTTTTAACTTATTAGTTGCTAAAAGGTTTATACTATATACTGCTATATACTGTTAATACTGTTTACAGTATAATACTGTTATATATTATACTGTTATATATATAATTGTTCGTATTTCGTATCGTCATTATTCGTAACAAATACGTAATTTTTTCTATTTATTATTTTAGTGTTAAAAGGCATAACAAATTATATTTTATTTACAATCATTTAAAAAGAAATATATTCTTACCAATAAATGCAAAGAATTATTATTCATTTTCGAAATTTTAACTTTAAATTTTAACTTTTTAACTTTATGGGAAGCAACTTGTTGTTTCTTCCCACATGGGAGCCATCAAAAGCACGTATAATTAAATGGCCACAACTATTGTGAATATCATTTAAGTATTACAAAATATGGATAAAGTGGCTACCTTATATGATTGTGTGGTACGGCAACATTGCATTTCATTTTAAAACATTTTAAGTTGTCAAATGCTTGTTTGCTGCTCTCTTTACTTCGTTATACGTTTTCAGTTCTATCTCAAATGTTGTGTTTATTGGGTGTGAATTGTTTTATTTGTGTGAGAAGCGCAGTTTGTTGTTTTTAAGAAGTAAATAATTAATAATTTGTTTACGCTATTATTAATAAAAAAATTTAAACAAATATGAAGCTGCGTATTTTTACAATGATTTATAATTATTCCCATTATTGTTCGTATTAATTCATATATGATTAATAAAATGCTTAAAATCATGTATAAAAAAATACAAAAAACATAAAAATCAAAAAGCAACGGAAGTGGAATTTTTTGCAAAATTTGTTTCTTGATTTGAATACAAAATAAATAAACTTTATGCGAAAGTAATTTGTTTATTAAAAAGGCAATCAATAAATAAATTAAGAATAAGAATATATATTTTTGTGTTGTTTTTAAATTGGAAGCACGCACACAACATTCAGGACGTAATGCAATAGTGATAAAGTAAGTTAGGCTTGTATAATTTTGTTGCCACATAGTTTTTTGTATACAAAAAAATTAATTATATTTTTATTTAGATTAAAATTAAAAATTAATATAATTTAGGTAAAGTTTTGATAATAATAGAGAATGTAAAATTCTGCTGAAAATATCTTTGCATAAAGTTTTATATGTATGCATTGAAGTTACTGCTGAAGCTTGCAACAAAAGCAACAAAAAAAAACATTAATAGTTCATAAATTAAAGCAACAACAAATAATCAAGAAACAGCAACACTAAACACACAAACAAAAAACAACAACAACTGGAAGGAATTACTTTTTTGTATTGCGTCAATTTTTGTATTGAAATTATTTATTCTCTCCCTTTGCGTTGCGCACAATATTTGATAATAAAGTTCAAATTGCTGTTATTATTGCTATTGTTGTTGTTATTTTTGTTGATTTGTTGTAATTGTTATTTTGTGTATTTTGTCAGAATTTGTTTTGTTGGAGGCGTGAGAGTGGCGCTCAATTCAACGGCTGCCGGCTAATGCTCGTGGGTGTTGAAGAACATACGTTCTGCGCGATTGCCATGCCTATTGTGTTTGCAGGCATCTGGAATTGTTGTTGCTTTATTTTTTGCCACCTCTGTTAAAATTTATTAGTTCCAAATTATTAATGGAGTAAAATACATTTTTTTATCTGCATTTTCCACTGCAAAAACATTTCGCTGATGTGCACATATTTTTTTCTTTTGCTTATTTATTGAAAGGAAGAACTTACACATGCGATATATAATACGAGCGCACGTATGAAATAATATAAATAATGTATTCAAACCATATGTTAGCTATAAATTCAAAGCCGATAACGATTAGAAGAATTAAAAAAATATATTATATATGAATGTATATAAAAAATAAAAATATTTGATAAAATTTATGGCCAAAGGTTATCATTGATTTTCAATTTTCTTTAAATGATTTTCACAACAAGAAGTCTTTAAATAAAATAGTTTAAAGTATTCTTTGATTATTTAGAATTTAGAATATAATAAATCAATCATAATTTATTTTCAACTACGACTTACCAAGAAATTTTGAATAGGTCTTAAGTATACTAATTGTAATGGCAAATCAATAACTGAAATTTTAGTTTTTATAAATCAGATTTTCATCAAGCTATAAGTATACAGTATATAGTATAGAATAGTACAGAGCAGGGCTGTTCAGACCAGATCGCGGTCCAATACAAATCGCTGTACAGATTGGAGGGCCGCAGAAACAAATACATACGTTCATAGTTTATAGTTGCTGGTATAGAGTGTTGTATTTTTTTAACGAGGTGTAGAGAAACAGAAAGCCCAAATTAGTGTTTTCTTTAACCGACTAAAATAGTCCCGAAGTTCGACGGTTAACCCTTTTGGAAACACCGATTTGGTATTCCGTCAATAGACCGTCCAGAAGTTCAAACGTTTGTTTTTGGTCGTCATATAGTCCATTGAATTAAATGTTTCAACTTCTGTGTTTTCATATATCGTCGTTGCAGTTACCACAACCTCGCTGGTTATGCGATCTATGATAGCGCTTGGCATTACTTTTCGAAATGTCTAAGGTGTCGCATTGCTTGAGTTTTTACTGAATTCTATTTAAAACTGCTTGAAGACATTTAATGTATAATGCTGCTTGGAGATGGTAGGTGTCCCAGAAATCCACAAGTAGGTTCCGTTCGTCTTGAAAGCAATTACGACGAAATACCATATGTTTTGCGCTTTCAACAACGTTATGACACTTTGGGCAGTAGGGACCATCTGCCAGTTGAAATCGATGACGATCCATGGCCGGTCAATATTAGGGTCGAATAGAAGTCCATTAGACTATGTTTTTATATTTTCTTGTCACACATTCTTTAATGTTTAAAATGAGCGCATGGTGTAGTATAGAGTACAGTATAGTAAAGAGCAAAGTATAGAATATAGCACAGTATAGAGTATAGCATAGTATAGAGTACAGTATAGTATAGTATAGTATAGAGTATAGTATACATTAGAATAGAGTATAGTATAGTGTGCCATAGAGTATAATTGATAATCTTCATTATATTATCTTAATGGGGAAGAAAGGTTTAATTATTTTTCATTCTATTTTAATGCCATTACTATGGGTTTCAATCACTTTAAATTTGTACTTATTGAACTTATAATCCTTGCAATCCCACCAAAATATCGAAGTCTTACGTTATCTGGTTTTTATTTTGTTAGCCAGATTAGTAAAAATCTATCTTCTATAAATAATTATTGTACATAGGTAGATCAAATGTTCAAGGCTGGTTTCAAAAAAAATATTGTATTTCAAGAATACATATATACTATATATTTAATCATATATTAAAAAGTATCAACAGTTATTGAAATAAGTATTTGTTTGTACTTTGGCCTAATACAGCATCGCTAAAATATACACAAATTAATTTGTAAATAAGAGTATATTATTTATGATTAAGAATTTTAAATTGTTTACTCGCTATTAACAAAATGAATTCTGCTTAGAAATACTCTTAGCAAATTACTTTGAAGTATATTGGGTGTTTTTTTTTCTTAAAGAACATTAAGTAACTTTATACAGTGACTACTTCCTTTGAAAAATTAAAAAAAATAATATTATGTGTACATTTTCCGTGTTAACTGAGATATATGATGATAATGAAAATTAGATGGAATTTTTTGTCATATCAGCTTTAATAACAAAAAATAGCTTCTAATTTTAATATTAATTTATAGTCCATTAAATGCAATTTTAATGATATATTAGGTTTGATACGAGGAAACTGCATTTTACCTTGTTTCAGTTCCCACCTTCTGCCGGTTGAAGAATAAAAATCTCCGAAAACCGTTTTCTCAGCGTGGGACGTAAAGTTTATAGACTTATCACTTTAATGGTTGAATTATTTCAAATTGATAACGTTTGAGGGCTGACTGCGTTCGTTTTCTACTTTTGGTAGTGTTTCTTTAGATCTGGTGTACGAGTAAGTTCTATCCAGTATAACACAATGGGTCAGTTTTTGAGGTCAGATGACCTTTAGTACACTAATCTGCCATTTAAACCCAACTTAACTGCTGTATCTGGATGTAATTTCAACAAATTTATCTCGTTTTCACTACTGACACCGGGGCATCACTTCTGGCGCTACAAAAATATATTTCGTGTTACTGAAATATTTAAAGTTGCACATTTAATATATTTGTTTATTCAATAAAGACATTTTTTTAAGTACTAATTTTAAATCCCATCGCTTTTCTTAGAATTGGATTAGTTTATTATATATAATAATTTTATTTTGTATAGTTTGCAATATTAAGTACATAGTAATATAAGCCATTAGCAATAAATAGAAAATATACAAACATATTCAAAAATATATATATATGTGTATCTACTACTTTTTGATATCTAAAATACATTTCAATAAATGTTTCTAGTTTACAGTCTACAAAATGACTCACTCCATATATACTGTAATTTAATTACGTGACTATTAGATTACTGACGGCTATTTTTCGCTCTTTATATTTGTTATTGTCTTGACTTATTGTTGCCACTATAATCCTGCTTAGCATCAGATTATTACATCAAGGCAAGTACATGAATCACATATTACATACAGGTTCCTAGCGTTCTCCAAACCACTCCTCAACCAAGACTCAGTATTACAAATTTACCAATTCCATTGATATTCTACTAATCAACTACGAGGCCTCCCATGGGCCAACAATGAGAGTAATGAATTCCTAAACTGAATTTGGTATAACATATTTTTGTATAATAATTTATATAAAAAAATTCTTAAAATATGTACTGATATGGTAATCTTCTACAAGTGTATCAATAGAGTTTTAAGTCAAGTCGTTGAAGATGTAATTTGATTTCCGTAAAAATAAATCACTGCCATGTTATTTTACATTTTTTATTAATCAATTTCCTTGCAAGTTCCAATCGAGACTTGAAAGTCTTATCTCAAGTTCTCTTACTGGTGGCAATATATTGGATTTATAAATATGTTAAGATTTTTTAAATATGTTGGGTTATATCTCCAGCTGTACCGTTTTTTCTTAAAATTATCCAACTAATAGTAGTGTTAATATGTTGGAATGAAATTCCCAATACATTAAAATATTTTGAATGGATAGCCTTAAACACTTAGGTTTATTTTTTCCAGTGTTAAGACTGGAGCTGAAGTTTATTTTCATTAAGTTAAGACTACATGTAATTTTTTTTTAGTAAAGGAGAGTTTATTATTAGATCTTGTCTACTATATATGAATATTAACTTTGATTTGTGGTACTATTAGACTAATAATTTTTATAGATATATCTTTATCTTCCAGTGTGATCCAGATCGAGTTTACAGTTTTCACTTTAAAACTAATATCAATGTATATAAAACATGTCCATAAAGACGAGTTTTTTAAGACGATCAAACTCTGGGTTGTAGTCCATCAGGTTTTGTTGGAAATATTTCTGTATTTTCACTTATTTACAATAAATATATAATTTTTTTTAATGTCTTAAGCTTGAGGGGTGTGAGATCTACATGAGTTTGTAGATATATAGTCAAAATGCTTAAAGTTTTTAATCATCAAAGAAAGCGAATATGGCAACAGTTTGAGATGTTCAAATAAATTTAAATAAGTTCAACTAAATAAAGATCTAATCGGTTTGTATATATATAGTCAAAATGCTGAAAGTTTGTAATCATCAAAAAGACTGTGTATGACAATAGCATGAGATGATAAAGTAAATTTAAATGAATTCAACTTTATGTTTGTTATTTTTATTCCATTCTAAAAAAAACATTTCTGAAACTAAGTTATTCTTTTAGCTTAAAAAATAATGTTAAGCCATTCTTTATAAGCTGTGAACTTAAATTCTTATCTTTTAAGTTAATATCTACTTCAACAATCACTTAATAACAAATGGAATTTCAACCTCAAATGCACCCACCAATTGTATTGTTATTTTACACA